GTCTGCCGGAAGTTTCAAGAAGGGTGAAAGGATAAATCACTTATCTTGATGCATAAGAGGCTGTTTTTAATGTATTGGTTTGTTCGACGATACGTATAGTTCTCGTTTAATTAGGCCAGAATTTGCTTAAAGAGGATTAATATTGTTATTATTATTATTATCAATGATAATTTTGATCGGTTGAAATCTTGAAAACAATGGGCGAATTACAAATGTTGTGGTAATGGTGTGTTAAAAATATTAATGTTTTTGCTAATATTTTCAACGGTATTGTCAATATTATTGATCGTGTTATGAAGATTTTAATTATTAAAATTTTATCAAACATTGAAATATGTGATATATAGATATAATGCTGAGTTGTTTTATAAACAAGTTGATTAATACGACAATTAAAAATCATTATTATGTTTTTTTTATTATTTCTTTGAATAAATTGTAACAAATGTTATCATTTCAAATAAATAAAAATGTTTATTCTAATAATCATATCGTATCACGAATTAGTTTTGATATATTTGTGATTTAGTAAAAAATACGATTAATTTATTCTCATTTATTAAAATTTCCAAAAATTGTTTCAACGAATTTTCATTTATTAAATTACATTAAATATATAACAATTCAATTCATTAAATTCTTCGATATCACATCATTTTGCCTCAAAAAAGAGAAGCAATAATCGCATTCGAATACAAACAATTCACATTTTCGAAACAAACCGAGATTATTATCTTTTCTCTAAACGAGATTCGCTAAAAAAAAAGACCAAGAAATCAACCTCAAACTCATCCACTATTCTCTCCACGAAAAATCCAAACAAAAGGAGAAGCGAGGTCGCATCGGGATGACATCAAAGCGTCTTCCTTTTTTTCCTCCCCGCAACCTCTCCTCTCCGCTCAACGAAGCCGATGCAAACCGTTTTCGTTTAACAGGATTAGATCCCAGGCGTCGTTTCATTTACCCTCTCGCCACTTTTCTTTCGTGAATAACGGTTAAAAACGAAAGAGAGACAGAGAGAGAGAAGGAAAGAGAGAGAGAGAGAGAGAGACAAGAAGAGGATCCTCGAGGATTTTATCCTTCGACGTGGCTAATGACACTTCCACGCGTGTTTCCTTCTTTTCGACGATAAAAGAGGAGGAAGAGGAGAAAAATCGTGTTCACGTCGCTGTCCACGTTTCTTCGTTGTGAAGGCGGAGGACAGGAAGCCGTGGGGAAGGCGATCTTCCGCCAAGCTTCCCCATCCGTGAAAGTGTCTTTCTTCGGTAGGTAGACAATCGCAAACAGCTCGACGATCCTCTTGATACTCGTGCGAGCCACCCTCTCGTGGAGATTGAAACGAGCAGGGTCAAGGAACGTGCAAGTGAACAATGTCGTGCTATTAAGTGGAATACTTCGGATGGAGGAGGTATATTTCTGACATGGTGCATGGGCTTTAGAAGAAGAATTTCGAAACAAGGTGCGCAGTCTTCCAGAAGAACATATAAGTAAAAAGAATAGTTTTATACGATGAATATCAACATTGTACGAGTCGATGAACGTTGTAATTATTCTGATAAAGAAGTCTTGAAACAGATCTCTTTTGTCTTGAAATTAGAATCAAACGATGTATAAATATTTAATAAAAGTCTTAATAAATATAATTATTATTTAAAAATTCTCATAAAGCAAAGTGACCAAAGAAATCATAAAATAAAAGGATAACAAACAATTTTCTTAAACTGTCTATAACTTCTAAAATGCTATGTTAAACAAGAGAACAAATAATTTTACAATAGAAATTCTACATCGAAACACAAATTCTCTTGGAATGCGCAATGCTCTTCAATTAATTGTAAATCATACGTACCCCATTGCATTCGAGATTCCTCGACGAGCTGCATCCCATAGAGGGTATTGTCGCTCGAGTATCGTAGGATGATTTGCGGTGGTAATGAACATTTCAATCGGTGGCTCGGTGCATTCAAGCCTGAAGAGACGCGATTTGGCGCTAAGCCAGGGTCATTAAAAGCCCGTCTTGCGACCTTTTTGGCCTGGCCTTGCGTCGGTGCACTTTTGTTTGGCCGCGCCATCACAATGGCAAGATGGAAAATAATGAAGGAGAGAAAGAAGGAGAAAGAGAGAGAGGTCTCGCAAGGACGCGTATTCGCGGCTACGTAGGCGAGATCAGATATCTTGAGACTGAATTAAAAAGCTCGAGCGTATTGGGAGAGGAATAAAAAGGAGGAATAAGGGAAGAAGCGCGCCCTTGTGCCACGCTCGTTGCTTTTAATTAAGCTCAACTTGAAACGGATCCACCTTCGTTGGCCCTTTGTGGATCTCGAGAAAAGGGGTGTCTTTATAGCGTTTAAGATTCCCTTGGTGAGGGATGTTTCGATTGAAAATTGAGTGAAGGGATGAAATTTATCTTTGTTGGATTATTGGCGATAAAAATTATGGAAATAATCGTTAAGAGTAGACGAATTTTAATCTGTATGGCAATTTTAATTGAACGTATTGATGTTTAACAATATGATAAAAATCTATATTTTATAATAATAATTTTAATCGATTAAAATTTTAACAATATATTTATTGATTTTTGTTTGATTCTTTTATTTTCAATGAAACAATAAAACTGTATTTGGTTAAAATTTTTAAGTAGCAAGTCAAAAAGAGTAAACTTAAATAATTTCTAATAAAAAATATTGTTATAAATAAATATTTCTATATATATTTATTATATGGAATTCATTATTTTCAAACTCAAAAGATATTTATAATTTTCTAATTTATCTCTAAAAAAAATATAAAATTTCATGAAATTACAGAGAAGATTTCTAATATTATAAATATATCTGGAATATGTATGCAAGTTGTATTACACTGGGTATTGTGTTATTATCGTTAATAAGAGTTCCTTCCGTGATTAAAGTCTTAACTATGCTCATAAATCATCTTCTAAAATATCGAGTCTACCTTAACCTCCGTCCAAATGCATGTCCACCAATAAGGAGTATTATACCGTTGTAATGAAAGGAAGAGGAAGTACGTTCCGCTTGGAGCCTGCTAGATTCATCAGTAAGACTTCCTTCCAGATTTGAGTCTTAGATGATAGGATAATAGAAATCAGGGCAGAGGATTACATGAATTTGTATTTAGATGAAGACTTTCGAGGTTGCTATTTGATATTCATCGTATATGGCAAGTATAAGGAGAGTTGTCATAAATTACATAATGCCAGAATCAATCATTTATATCTTAATACTTGATGAATTTTATCTCTGACGTGGTATATTTTATATAAGTAATAAAGTAATTAATGCTTGATAAAGGTTAATAATAATTAACAATTTATCTATTTTTAAAAATCTGAGAAATATATACTTTAAACTTAAAATCAGGAGTTAGGAATTTTAGTTTATCTACAACTCTTGAGTAGATTTATCTGATTTTATGCATGTTAATAATCATCAAGATCAGGATTATTATTATTCAAAATACAAAACTGCTCTGTAATATTTATAGTAGATATAACGTATATAAAAGCTATTTTATCTTATGTATCTTATGCTATATACGTACAAATAAATCTACAATTTATTGTTTTAAAACAGAATTTTCCATTATCGAAATAAACTCTTACTTAAATAATTATTTAAATAAAGTTTTTTATTTTATTTTTGATTTATTGTGTTATTTTTCATATTATTTGAATAATCGTGTATTTAAAATACAAATTATTTTTAATATTTATTATTTAGTATTTATTTGAAGTATTTATTTGAACGATATAATTATAAAAATATAAATATATTTAATTAATTTGTCATTTAAAATAATTTTTATTCTCTATTATCATTTTCTAATGATATTAATTATTCGAAATAAACATTTCCAATAATTATAATTTGTATTTCTTTTAAATAAACCATGCATACATTATTAAATTCAATATTTGCTTCTCTTTTCAATTTTACATAAGAAATATAGAAAGTATTGTTTTAAATTACGTTTAAATTATTCAGTAGAATGTTCATTATTACGAAAAAAAAACTTCTCAGTCGTTGAGGATAAAATTTAATCAGTTACCATGGTAGAAATTCTAGGTACAAGCATAATCCATAAAATTGGATTACTTTCTTAATGGAACTTTCATGTGTTCAGAAATTTAACATTTCCTTTTTTTACTTTTAAATAGAATACGATAACATTGCGTTACACTTTATAAAATTATTAAGTATTATTAAGTATTAAATGGTTTTGGATTATTTTTAATTTATTATAATTATAAAGTTATTTGATCTAGATCTAGATGAAAATAATGACACAATTATATTTTTCAATTAAAATTATTTTTCTCTGAAACCTTATGTTCATATAATAAATATTTAAGTGTTATTAAAATGCTTTATAAATTTTTTAACATATAATAACAATTAGCAATGTTTTTTTTTAAATAATACAACTTAAAAGTTTTTTAAAGTATTATCAATTTAATTAAGTTTGACTAAATAAATTTCTTTTTTTTTCATTTTTTAAAGAATATATATAATATATATAATATATATAATATATAATGATTCTTCTAAATAAATAATAAATATATAAACAATATTCATAGTAAATTATAAATTAATAAATATAATTTAAAAAAAAATATAATCATATAAAGAAATTATATAATTATTATATATATAATTTCATCTAAGTGTTTTAAATTATTATTTTTTATTTTTAGCACATTAATCATGTAAAATATATACATTTAACTTATTACTAAATGTAAATGCAACAAATCTTTGACAATATGCATTGCAATTTTCCAATTACTATCCACTATATTTGTTTTATTCATTGTTTTTAATTTCGTTTTTAATCTTCACTATATTTTTCTATGTGATCTAGTCTTTTAAAATATTATCATATCACATACATTTGTTCTGCACTTTGCATTTATAATTTTTCTTCTTCACTAATATAATACATTTCACTTATTCGTGCACCCCGTTTTGTTACAGATAAAGCGCCTTCCGAAGCCTCTTTCAAAGGAACGGAATATCTCACGATAGATTTGAGCAAAGGAGATCCAATTTTGAGCACACAGGAAACCGTTAATTTGCAATTTAAAACAAAGCAACCGAATGGCCTTTTATTTTATTCCGGTAAGTTGTTCTGATAAATTTAATTGGACAATATTCGATACTTTTTATTTCGTTCAAACATCAAGTTCATTAGATTAAATTATATATCAACAAGAAAATATTTCCATTTTATAAATATAAATGCTTTATATAGAGAATTTTCATCGAAATGATTCTTTTTTTATTTTCATTGAATTTTAATATAGAATTCATTAGAGCTTATTGTTTGATCCATAGCATTTATTATAAAACGTAGTAATATTTTCATCTTTTTTATTACTATTATTACTATTGCTTATAGATACTTATAGATATATGAGACAAGCATTAAAATAATAGGATTTGCTTTTATTTAAAATCAATAGAAATATTTATATTTAAGATTTCATCTATACCATTTAGTTTAAAATTGTTTAAATACTATAAAAAGTAGCAACATTTAAAAAATTTTAATTCATTGCTTTTAGATTGCTAATTTTAAAGAAGAATTTTTTGTTGAAAATCTATCTAAAATTAAAGTTTTATAGTTTGTAGATTAGATTAGAAAAATATAATCTTCAAATAAATAAGAATTTTCATCCTATCATGATATATTGCAAAAATTTAATTGAAATATAATAAAAAAATTATAGATCATTATCAATATCAATATCAATATCATTTAAAAATTTGCAATAAATACAATAGGTATAGAATATTTTGATAATTTGAATAATATTCAATTTTAAATACTATAGAATAAAAGAAAGCTCTATATTCAAAAAGTTAAGAGATTTTTTTCATCAATTTCAAAATAATAAAATTTACGACAAATCCTCTTTAAAATAAATTTTTTTTATAATTATATATTTCTGTATATTTCTATAAATAATATTCCTATAAATAATATTATATAAGATATCTTGATCTTAACAATGTGATTGAATTAAAATAAGAGATTATTTGAATTATAATAGTTACATTTACATTAGTCACAATCACACAAACGCAAAATCAAGATTAAAAAGAATTCTCAAGAAGATTCTCAAATGGATCAAGGAACTAACCTTTGATAAGCAAAATCATTTTATGAAATCCCTCTAAATTTTAAACACATCCTGTGAATTTCGTTCCCTCTCTGTCGAAACCTCTTGCGGTTCTCACATGAATTAAATATACATGGAACCGACGAAATATTCGCATTGCAGTCACTGCTTCTTACTAGCTCTCAGATCCCTATTGCGACTGAAGGTACTAGAAATAAAGAAAAAAAAAAAAGTAAATGTCCCTAGCTTCGTGCTTCGTAAATTGCTTCAAACTTGTAGATGCTCCGTCCGCGACGAATTATGTTCTTGAGGAGGAAGTTAAATTTTTTTAAATGTAATTGAATTCTCGTCTCGTCGACGTGAAAGAGGGTTATGTGGTTGAAAAAATTATATCGATCAATTCTTTTATCAAAAAGAGAAAAAGAAATATTTTTAATTTTAATTTAATTAAGGAAATTTGTTTACTCTTTTTGTTATATATCGTTCTGTTATTTTTCATTTATTTTTATTATTCACACACATTAGTTCTAGCTGCACATAATTTTCTCTTAATAAGTTCAATTTATTTCCGTTTATTTCCGTGTGATCGTATTATTATATGAATTTATTCATGCGATGAAAATTATGGAAAGCGAGTAATCAAATTTGTAATTATAATATTGCTCATTCACCGAAAAAAACATTTTATCTTCTACTTTATTAAATTCAATAAGAAATTTTGATTTCTATTGACTCCAATTGCGAATTATCTATTTTTTAAAATTTGAAAAACATAATCCTGTATTATTTAAGAATTTTCTATTAAATAATAATTTGTTAAATCTGTTTATTTCAAATTGTTTATTTAAAATTTTTTTATTAACTCAATAGATTCATAATTTATTCATTAATGCAGAATATCAAATAAAAACAACTTGATTAGATGACAACTAGATGACAGAAGGAGATTATACACTATACATGATTCATTTTATACTTACAAGTTTGTTTTGGATTATTTTCATTTCTTTTGCTCAGAGTAATAATAATTACAAAAATTCTGTTCTAATTAATACATGATTATTAAAATAACAATAAACACAGTACAAATCTAATTAATCACTGATTAATCATCACAATTTTTCAAATTGATTTCGAAAATCTAACTCTGTTTTATGATATATCATAAATCAACAATTTCTTTCTTTTACTTTGAACAGACACCAATCACAATAGATTCTAAAATCACAAACTATTTTTTTCATCCTTAGAATAATCATTCCAATAACCTAACTCTTAACTCTTTAATAAATATAATCCATCATTGTGGATCAACAATTTCCAAAAATGCCATATAAATAGATTAACCACTTTCTTCCATTCGAAGCAAACACCTTCAAATAATTACAAATTATTCTATTTCTCTTTCTTCATCCCCTGGAAACCCCGATAACTCAATTCTTGATTCCACTGTACACGGTCCACCATTGTATTCGACAACAACGTTTCCAAAGACACCGTACAAACCGATTTGTCTTGTCACAAAGGGGATGATCCACGACAACCAAGAAGAACATCTCGCCAATGTCACATAGATCTCGCTGCTAATATCACGGCTTTCAGTTCCGATAATTACAGAACCGTAAGTTGGCTTCTTATTGACGTCAAAATTCCCCAAAGGAATCCTTCCCCTTTATCGATAACACATCATACTCCTCTGCCAGTTGGATTTCGTTCCAGGGCCTTGTGGATCCCCGTGTGGATATGGCCAATGCAATATCTCACACGTGATCTTCCATCCCCTCCTCCCTTCCCTCGTTACCTCCGCTTCTGTAAATAGAACCGGATAATCGCGGGCATCGGAGAATTGGAAGAAGTAGTGGATGACGATAATTGCAATTAGGGTCGAGCCTGATGCTGCTCTGCCACTTTTACACCGGTTGTTGTGTCGATGCAAGCCCCGATTATCGAGCTTCGAGTAGTTGCTTTGGAGGATTGGGCGATACATTGTGCGGTATTACGAGTGGTTTTCTTAGTTAGGAGGGTGGGTGGAGATTGGTATCGGTATTTCGCGGTTTGATGGATGGGGAAAGAATTAGAGAAATATAAGGGCATTAAGAGAGTGAGGTTTTTTGGATTAACGAGATTATTTTCTGTTGATAGAATTTTTATTGTTTTTATATTCGATCGGTATTTCAAAATTCGTCAGATTTTTAGAATGTGTGATTATATATAATATTTATAATAATATGATACGTGTTTATTTATTTATTATTTTCTTTTCTCTGACACAAGTATTCGAAATGGTTTTATTTGAGGTAATTAATATATAAATTTTTGAGAAAATCTATTTTTTTTCAAATTGATATTAGCTGTAGTGTATTATAATATTTAAATTTAATTTAGTTAAGATTAATTAATTTTTTTAAATTAATAATTCATTAAATAATTTCTATTTAATAAATTGTTTGAATGAAATTACAATTGCATTTAAAGATATTTTTGGTATTCTAAAATTGATAAATCTGAGGATCTGAAACTAATTAATCATTGATAAAAGTACGTGAAATTGTCTGAAATTTATTTCGTTTCAATATATTGAGTTTTTAAAAAGCTATGATTAAAATTTTATTCGAAGGAACGAAATTTAATACACACAAGGAAATGAAAATTTAATTTACTGTTCTTGTCCATGTTACTCCTTGAACAAATTATTCCATTGATGAGATAATTTCATATCTCTCTACATATACAATTTTTTTCATTCTCTGTTAAATCTTCTTTATATATTACAAATATAAAATTTTTTAATTCCTCTCTATATCTCTAAACGGACTAAATGATAAAAATTATAAATATAAATATCGTATCATTTTAATTCACGCGATACAACTTTGACGTTCCAATAATTAAAAATCTAAAAATTATTAAAGATTCATCCCCACGAAAAGTAAGACAGGCAACCAAAAAAAAGAAAAAAATATCCAGGAATTGGAGAAATAATTTCAACGCATAATTTAACGAACGTGAAACAATGCGGAGGAATAGCCGCGACGAGGTCACGAGCTTAAATTGGCGAAGCTTGGTGGAACGTAGCGAGAGATGAGAAACGCAAGTAGGACAGACGAAAAATAGTAAAAGTGGGAGGGACGAGCACGGTGCTCGTATGAAAGAAACGAAGAAGTGCTCTCGTCGAGAATTTATGCGACTCGATGGAGCATTTGAAGTGGCGTTACGAGATATCAGAGGTTTACGTAGAAATATTCCTATGACTGAAACTGAAAAGAGAATCATAACGAATGCGAGAGTTGCTTTAGAGTTGCGCGTTGCCTTGATATTTACAGCGTATTGTTTTAAATTGGAAACACTTGAAACACAAAAGAGCACACAAAATCTTAAATTGTCCAAATTCATTGGACGAGGATTTAATGTGATTTATCTTCCAAACACAGCGTGTATTTTAATTAAAAGTTTATTTCTGTAACATTAAATTCGATGTTGGATATTTATTGCATTCGATCAAACCAACGATATTATCAATTTCAACATTATCAAACTTTCTGCAAAATTCGATTCGTTGATTTAAATCGTGGATAATAATTCACCACGGATAATTATTTTCCCTATTACTCTTTTCAAACGAACAAACCACCCCCTCTAAGACATCTCACGCATTCCTTTTGATCTCTAAACAAGAAACTCTTGCCCCGACATCACGGTCCCCTGTACCGACAAAAATGTGCATAATTTAAACGGTTGACCATCGGTATAGCTTATCTGGAGAACAAATGAGCGTGCTGGGGCCGGATACTGCGGAGCTTGGTGGAGATGCGCCGTGGCGAAAGTAGAACGTGCCCTGTGCATGGACGAATTCATCTGTGTATAGGTGTGCACGTGAATCTGTGTGTGTAGATGCGTGTGTTACAGCATTGCGGAAAGTGGTTGCGTGTGTACGTGTACAGGTTTTCGAGTTCACGGTGCCGCAGCCTCCTCCTGCCCTCCTCCCATCCTGTTTCCATTGCGATGCGGCTGAACCAGATAGTATGTATCCTCGAGATACTTATCAGCCAATTCTACTTCTGCTTAATATCTTTTGTATTAATCTGTGGCTAGGGATGTCTTGTTTGACTAATTTATCCATGCGAGGTTGGATTATATATATACAGTCCGCTCGTAGGAGGATTTTCAAATGGCGATTTTTATCGGATTCGTTTTGAGAGAGAGAGAAAGAGAGATTGAGAGAGAGAAAAGTATTGTTTCTTTCTGTTTTTGGATTAGAGTATATGGGAATGAAGTAATGGAGGGAAGATAGGATGGTTATTATTTAATGATAAAAATTATTTGTGAGAAAAATAATTGCAATTGTTTTGATTGCATTATTTGTTAAAATTTTAACACTCAAAGATAGTTTTAAATTTTTTTAATTTTAAATTTAGTTTTAAATTTTCGCTTTCTAAAATAAACTGTAGAAAGTAAGGTATAGGTTGGATTTCTAAAAACTTGAAAATTTAATTTAATATTGTTGTCTTAATTAAAAATTTTGTAAGAAAATTTCTTTATGAGATTCTCTTAAAATCTTTTTTATGATATTGTTTACCATATGATATTTTTTGTATGGACAGTAGTTACATTTACACAGGTAAAAATTTTTCTGCCAGGAAGTCAGACTTAAAATACGTGATCCCTTAATACACACAACTTTTCTAGAAACAATAATTTTCAATTTTGCAAGTTACAAACGCAGGCAATATATAATTTAGTTCACTATAAACATTTTATTCTAAGAACATTGCAACATCTCTCTTTGAAATAAAATCAACTGAGAGGTGAAAAGAAGAGAGATATGAAATAATGTAACAAAAAGAATATTAAAATAGGCTGATAGAAGTTAATTTTTCTTTATTTTCATGCATTTCTTAGAAAGCAGTTTTCAGTGTTTAGATTCATCCTCATTCATACCTCATAAAACAAAGTGTTTTTAAAATTATATATTTATGAACGCTTTTCTTTTCAAACAGCCAATGGACGTAATCGCGCTTCCTGCCCAACCGGTAATTAAAAGTTTCTGTATTTTATTAGTTGTAAATGTTTCATACCAATGGTTTTTGTTCCATTGCTTCATCTCAATTTCGAATTTCCTTCGATAATCATTTAATGATAAATTTACTTGCTTTTTTACATTTTTACAATTTTCACTTTCTTCTAAGATATTTATAAACACTTTCTTTCTCATTTGAACGCAATTTTTAACTTTTATACTGAAACTTATTTCTGATAATGATATAAATAATAAGAAAGATTTATGCATAGTCACATAACAATAATTTAATTTACATTACATTATGAGATATCAAAGTAAGTATTTTTATTATTTTTTTAATTTTATTTGGAATTAGGTCAATAGATACTTATTGAAGAGATTTATACCATTAATTTTATATTATTAGCTTTTCAATGTTGTACAATATGTACAAAATAAAGAAAATTGTAACTATATTAAAGGTTTCAATTATTTTGAAGTTTAATATAAAGTTTTACAAAATTTCAAGCTATGTACATGTTAACAGAGAATTGTAAAGAATAAATACAAAATATTATTTTTGCAAATGAAATTAAATCAAATTCCTGTATCGGTTTGTTTATTCCAATATTTTATTTTCATTCTACTGTATCCAACATCCAATTTCGAATACTTTGAAATTCTGTTATCTATGTTTTTTTAATTTTCAGTTTCCCCAATATGGGGAACTCACTTATTCAATTTAGTATTGAAATATTCAGATTTTTATTGACAACAATAATGGATGACATGACGAATAAAGATTTATTCATATTTAACAAAAAAGGCAATCCTATTGACTGTATATACATATGTATAATTTCTTTTATTTATTTATAAAAATAAATAGAAGAATGTAATGTATATAAAATAATAAAATAATAGCAATAAACACGTACAACTTCATAAAATATTTTAACATGAAATAGTTTTATATTAATTATACTTGTATAAAATGAAAAAATGTATTTTTATACAGAATGTAAATTGAATTGAATATTTTTCTATTTGATTTTATTTTACAAGACACGATCATTTTCAAACATGAAATGTTATTTTATTAATATAATGAAAATATTCAATAGATAATAATTTAATAATTATTTCATTCATTTGAAAAGAAATTTTACTCATCATTTCGATTCAAGTGCATTATTTTAGTTCAATTGCATGTTTTTCATATTTATTAAGTCTTCTAGAGACAATATTTTTATTCTCCAATTGCAAATTTCTTCTCATAAATTTCACAAAGAAAATGATTATTTATAATCTAAATTATTATAATTATAATTTATCTATATGCTATAATATTTTAATTCAAATTAAAATATAATTAAAATATAATTAAAATATAAAATTAAATACAATATCTCGTTTTCAAAATTTTGGATCTTAGACAGTGTACAAAATGCTTGTTTTGACACAATTAAAAAGGACGATGCACGCGTCATGCAGTTAGGCATATGCAAATTGCTGGGTGCAATTAAGTCTACGGTGCAGTCTGCATTTTTTACATGCCTTAACTTCGGAATAATTAGCCTGCGGTCTAAATGCAAATACCGTAGTAAAAAAGAGACTTTTAGAAGTGGTTACAAGATGCTTGGTGAAGTGGAATTCTAAAAATGTGTGACACATTTTTTTTTTTGAAAATGATACAATAATTCCGTAGAACAAAATTACGTTATATATTTACAATAGTTCACAGAATATTTGAATATTCTTTTCAATGAATGATTTAACATTCAAATAATATAAAAATAATAATAAATATAATAATACGTGTAATTGTTAATAATAAAACAAAATAATTATTAATCTTATCATAATATTCAATGGTAAATTATCGTAAATTTAATTTTCCCACGAAAATTTTTGATAAATTGTTTAATAAATATTTAATAGCTCTCGTAATGTTTATACTCAAATTACAGTGGTAATATTAATTTCTATACATAATCGTGCAACACAAATAACGAATATTAATTGTTCGAATAAATACGTATAAACGTGTGACGAATATTGATTTATTCGTAATGTTATTACATTGACATGTCTTACAATTAAATTATTGCATATCTGTTTTTGAGATCGAACCTTGCATATAATTGTTTAATCAAGACATTTCCATTCCAATTCGTTTTACTAAAATCCAATTACTAAAGTTTTTCATTGAGATTGACTTAATTAACTAACTAATTAAAATAATCAAAATCAACAATAATCCCGTTCGATACATAAAATATTACGTGCCTGTGTTCGTACAAATGTTCAAATGATTCGAATTGTACGTAGTTCGAAGAGTTGTAACATTTTTATTCCATTTCTCTTAATCCAAACGCTATCCAAACGTGTTCAACGTTCATTCCAAATTCGTTTCTACAACAATTAATAATGGACGAATTGCAGAAATCCAGAAGCGGCAAATAAAATCCATACCCCCGCTATAATAAAAGCCCGAACGATATGAGAACATGGAGTAAACCAATATCGAGCACAAAGCTTCGGGATAAATTGATAAAATTTATACCGTCTATTTTACACGGTTACAAATATCCCCACGCGCAATAATAATAAAACAGTATTAACATCAACCGCAGCAAAACAAACGGTAGTAATACCATTTTCCAATCCCGCCCCACAATCCACGGTCCAAAGGACGCACGAGTAAAGGAGGGGGGATGAAATAAAAAGAAAATAAAAAGAAAAAAGAAAAGAGAGAAAAAAGAAAAAGCTTCATCAGCCTCTTTTCCACGATTTCTCTGGCAATCGACCTCACACTGGATTAGAACTCGAAACGACGCGTATAAATCGTTTGTATCCGCTTACCATTAGTTTCGCCCCTTTTCGTTTTCCGGTTTGCCATGGTTATCCATGGTCAAACGAGAGAGAGAGATAGAGAAGGATGAGAGAGTTCGTCGTTAATAATTATCGTGGCGAACGAACTGAAAAGCCCGCGGATTATACCGGTATATCGGCGAGAGCTCGTTACGAGCCGAGGGATTAAGACGCGACAAACGACACTTTATTTTTATTATTTTCGGGGGGTGGAATCGTATAATTATGCTCGGGGAGGGGATTAAATCCACGTTCGAACCTGTGTATCTTACATTTACAGGGGATTAACGCGAATTATAATCTCATTCGCGACCTTTGCCCTTTGCGAGATTTAACGAAGTTACGCATAATGAGAAATCAGAGATCGGGGGAGAGTTGTGCGCGGGTTGTTTGCGCGATTATCATTTATTTGCGCGTGGATTATCGGAAGTTCGCGTGGTGGTTTTGTCGATGATTTGTGGTTGATTGCCCGTGAAATTTAAAATTTCAAAAAAGGGAAGTCCTTCTTTGTAAAAAAGAAAAAAAAATGTAACGCAATTGTTCTTTTCTGAAATGTGTACCCTGCTCGTAACTCATTATTATGCCATTATCATGTAGAATGATTCACTATATGTAATCAAGCATATAACGTATCTTTTTTCTTTTTGGTTGAAGAAGAAAAGATTAGAATACGAATGGTTTGAGATAAAGTAGATTTTTATTATACCTTTAATTAAAAAAAAAAAAATTTATTTTGTTTTACCATTGCATGAGTTACTTTATCTGTGTATCATGGAAATCCATTTCACAACAGGTATGGCGGATATATTTGCATTGTTTTATTAAATTATACACTATTTTTTCAGAATTATTTTTTAAAATTTTAACCAATGTATCTCAAAGATTCTCAAATTCTTTTTAATAGAAATTTCTTGTTTCGTACTTTGCTCACCTTTCCATTCAATTTCTTCAATTTTAAAAGATCAAAATTTTAAGAAATATTTCAATCACGTTTTTAATCTATTTCTCACGATATCACGAGTCTATTAAAAAAGAAACTGGTTAATTCACGTCAAAGTAACTTCCTTTTTTTTCGTATCATTTCAGGGGAAGGAGATGATTATCTGACCATATCTCTAAGAGATGGAGGGGTGGCTGTGGGCATGACTTTGGCCAAAGGGAGATTAGATCTGCACATAAAGCCTGTTCGGGTCCGGTTCGACGATAATCAATGGCACAGGATCATCGTTCACAGGAAAGTTCAAGAGGTAAGAAAATTCATTCGTCTAGTTTTCGTGAATTTAGTTATTAAATTTAAAAAACGAAAAAAAAAAAAAAAGAAAGAAAGATATCATTATCCTGATCATTTATTGTTATATGAACCTTATATGAATCTACTGACTTTCACGTGTTACGTTTTATAAATTTCAAGTTTAAATATCTATATATTTGGAATCGAATGATTTAACACGAATTGACTTCATATTTTCTTCATATTCGAAATAACATCACAATGCTTTAAAATAATTCTAATTTTGAATTATTTTTTATACAGCAAGTAATTTATGAAAAATTTATTGATTTATTATTAGGATATTTATTTATATTTGTTTATAAACATCTTTTTAATCCGATATTAATTTATTGATTCGCTTGTGACTGTAATTGGAAACAATAAAATTTTAAATACTAGACAGTTATAATTAAAATTACTGTAGAGTTTAAAAGATATAGAAAAACAGAAAACATTCGACAAATCTTTACATTAAATACAAAAATTGATCTCTTATGAAGGTATTTTATAATAATAATAATGATTCGTTTGACTAATTTTATATTGCATTGATTTGGTAATCGAAATCATGAATTTATACGATTCTTCACTTTTAGAAGAGTTTTTTCTCTTTACGTTGAATTGAATATTTTAAATCGTTCGTCCGTGCACGTGCTACCGTTTGCTCGATGTTTTATTCAGCACCGAAACTGAGTAATAAGCTTCTTGTGCGCATCGTTTCTCGATTGAGGCTTTTTAATAATGAATATCGAGGAAGAAGGAGTAACGCTTAACAAGTTTGCAAAGATATTTAAAGAGTGGTTCAGTTTTTTTTGGATTCATAAACGAGATTTTCCTCTGGATTGCGTGTTTTTCTCGCGTAAATTTATCTTTTTAGCAATTCGTTTGTTCTTTTATTTATTGGATTAATTCTGTACAATACTGTACATACAGCTCAATGAATTTAATAATCTTTAAACGTTAAAAAGAGATATGGTATTTCTCGAAAATATTTGAATAATATTCCATAAAAAAATTATATGAATATAATATGTTATAAAAAATTATATATTGTATATTAAAAGAATACATAATATATTATGATGATGATGTCAATTAATTGTTATTATATTCTATACATTTACATTCTCTATGTTTAATTTTAAATATAATTAATATATTTTCATGAAACTGTTAATGTTTTAAAAAAATAATATTATAACTATTATTATATTATACATACATATATATATAATTTGATTTGAATCAGAATATAGAAGCTATAAAATAAAAAAAAGCTATAAAATAAAAAATTCATTGCAAGAAAATATATTAATTTAAGTGTATTAATAAACATTAATTTTATTCATCATCATCATGTAATTTATAATATCTATTTGGATTTCTCTCAACTTCAATTATAACGTCATACATTATCTTTTTAGTTATTTTAATAAAATTCCATGATATTTTGGTCTAATAGAATTCCAGAATACTCAATTAATATCAAAATTATATAATTAATACCCAAAATATTTATATTTCAACACGTTTTTCCAAATTTTGAATCACAAATCAATCTCAATATAAGATTCAATATATATTTCATTCATCGTCCAAAAATTAACACAATCCAAATTTATATTTAGTTTCAGTATTTTAAATTCCATCCTTGTAATTTTTATTTCAAAATCACAAATCATTTTTTAACAAATCAATCTTTTCAATTTTTCCAATATTCCTAGACACGAAATTAAACTCATATATATACAGTTCAGTGCGTTCACATTCACGATGAAAAAATTGACAACAGATACGCAAAGATGGTTTCTGTTCCTCGAGTATTGGTTGCATCGAGGCTCGAACTGCCAAACAAGGGATATTTCATGAAATATTAATGAAAGCATCCCCGTTCCCCGACTTTCCCTTTGATCTCTTCGATATTCCTTTAGAATTTCGTGGACCCCGCAAAATTCTTCCTCGTTCGAGCGTGAACGAGGGAGAATTGTCAGCAGACACACGGAGATATTAGTAGATGGCCCTCCAACCGTGTGGATCGAAAGCCTGTTTTCCAATAGATGTCGCGTTCTCAATTGAAAACACGTCGATACGTGTTATTGTCGTCGAGCCGGTTCGTTAAATTTTATTGTGTGTATATCTGCTCTCCTTGGCGGAGACTTTATCGATATCGAGGAATTTTATATCATAACAGGGTTATACATTCATTTTCTACGTTTAACGATGTTTAACCTTTTTATTTCGATATTAAACAAGATGGTACATTGAAGATATTGGATATTAATGTATATTTTATAAATGGAAGAATATTGAAATCGTTTTGAATCGATTGTTTCTTGGTCGAGGAGAAGAAAGAAATATAAAGAAATTTCTTTTTCTTGAACGAGGAAAAATTGTTGAGATAAAATAAAGTGATTTATAAATTTCTGTTGTTTATATGATTACAAGTAAGTTTTAATAAGTTTTAAATTATTTTTCTTTGATAATTTGGGAAAATTATTGGATTTATTTCTCGAAAATTTATTATGTTATTATGATTCATAATAGTACGAATTTTTCGTTTTAATGTAATTTTCTTTTTTATTGCATTAAATTATATTAAATTATAATATATTCTTTATATAAAATAGTGTATAAAAATTTTACTTGTAATGATTTTAAATTTAGAGGCAGAAAGAACATTTATAATGTAATTGTTTAAGGAATTTAACTATTCTATAAAAAGTTATAGTATATATAGTATATATAATTTAGAATATTAAAACTATTTGTATTATCACACGAATGTATCTGTATTTTTTCTCTAAATTTTATATATCATTTTTTACACTTATCTCGTTCAAGATTTATAACATTTTTAAATTCAAAAAAGTATATTTTTATTAAACTTCCAAGTACAACATACAAAATATATAGAATGAATAAACGTAATAAGTCTGATTATACATTGACTTCTACTACTAAATTCTTATATTTCTAATAGCTATATAATAAAACATATTTTGTATTATGTACTATTTCATTATATACATGTACAAGATCATTTATGTTTATTAAATTTTTTAATTATATAGATCATATTATCAAATCACAATAGAAAGAACAATTTCCTTTTTTCTTTCATTTATATTTAAAATACTTTGTGTATTTTCGATTAAAAGTATTTTCGTTGGATAAAAATTAAGACTTACTAAAATAGTTCTTCTAAACTATTTATTAAAGTAAATAAATAAATAATCGATAATATTTTACGTGAAATCATCGAGATCGAAGATAATAAAAAAAAAATAGAATGAAATAAGAACATCACAGGGATGTTTCATGTTGTGTCTCCGTTATGCGGCTACGAAAGAATCAACTTTCCCCCTATCGACACTCTAAACGATCTCCACGAACCCTCGTATTAACCTCGTTAAAAGCGGAAACACGGCGTACTCGGGTCGATTTCGTTGTCCAACGTTGATGTCCCGAAGCAAATAGATCGGCGAACGGATGTGAGAGCAATATCGTTAGTGTGTCCTGGGTATACACCGACATTCATCGTGTATTACGCGCCATAGGGTCGGTAATGCAATTATTTACGCGTTAACATGGCGCGGGAGGGGAGGAGAGTCCAGCTGGTTTGTCGATTTAACGCCACCGTGTATTCGTGATCGTCGAATCGATTTTATTCGCAACAACCAATGAGATTTCAATCGATATTTTTTCATTTACCGTTTCCAGGCAAATTTGTTCATTGTTTTTTTTTAAGAGGCACTCTGAATTATTAAAAATTCGAATTTGAACAATTAATTTTTGGAAAATACTTGATTAGATTCTGTATCAACATCTCTCAAACATTTCTCAATTTTGAAAATATCTTACAAGTTTCATAAATATTTACGTATGTAAAGTTCGATACATTTCCTTATAGCATAATATGCTATGAATATTAGAAGACAAGGCAAAACTTTCCATATAAAATTAAAGTATATTTATTAAATTAGCAATTGAAGAAACAAATAGCTTGTAACATAATATTCTAGTGCTTCGTTATTCCATCATAAAAAGAAGAAAGTAAAATTCAAAAGGATAAAAATATCGACAAATTGATTTCGATCCTTAAATCTTATTACAATTTACAAAAAGTATCAAAATTTCATTAAAATTCCCTTATTAAATGCTCACAATAAATTGAATAGCTTCGCAAGCACGGACAGAACAAGGGAATGATATTTCTCATCTCGTTTCACAACATTCCCCCGTCACGGTCATCCCTCCCCCCATTCAAGAAAGCCTTAAACGCATCGATCGCGGCCGATTACGTAGGAACGGTCGAACGATCGAGGGGGACATTGGGGAAATTAACCGGAGTGCAGTTTGCCGGGAGCATTAGTGCGGGTTTCTGCATGGCATTGGTGACCTGATTCATGCGGGGGATAGCTCCTTCCGCATCCGCACCCCTTAAATCGTTGGCGTGCAAGCAGCCGCGATGCATTCCCCGCGCGGCTATCTCCGATACAAGATAACGGATAGCCGGCCAGAAATAGATAGGCCTTCCAAGATCCCCTTCGCGGCAAATGAAACGCGATTATGTCCCCGTTAGCTCTCGCCAAGATGGACGGCCGCGAAGGGGTGGGTGTCACGGTGTCTGGATCCGCACGAGATCGATTCGGTGTCTAAGAAGATGATTGATCTCTTTGACTTTGACCAGTCGAAGAATGGAAAATGGCCATTGATAATTTTGCGCATTGATAGTAATTTTTTTGAAATAATAATTGACGTGAGACGTTGAGAAGACGCTTTTTATTATTTCTTTGTGTTTTATTTTCTAGGTTTCGTTTAATTTTTTTATTGGAATTTTAACTTTTATAACGAATATCGATGATCATCACGTTCGATTTAACGTTAGGCTCGAGGGCGTTTCGAAAGGCTAGTTGGAATTAATTTTCGATAAGCATATTGATTATGTACGATACCGATCGATCGTGTTTGATT